TCAGAAATAAATACCACAGCTGCCTTCAAGCCAGTATTTATTTAGACTTGTTTCAGCATAATGTGAATAGCAACTCTGTTTCACACATTAATGCGAAAGTCACATGAATGAGCATTAAATACGAGGAGGTCAAATGCATATTAGAGCTCAAAGATGCTCTCTGCCTCAGTAAATGTTTAACTAGCTGTTTAAACTAAGGTCTTGGCTCTACTTACACGTTTGCTAGAAAAGATTAGTATTAGAAAACGTCGTCTTGTAGAGGTGCAGCTTATAATTGCCAAGGATTTCTTTTGATAGTACAGCTGAATCCATGTCCCTGAAAATAATAAACTCTGCCAGATGAAGATTATTTTTTGCCAAAATAGCTGCATATACACTAGAGCATTTGTCAACAAAGCTGTATTGACCAGCAGTAAGGAAGGGGTTTATGTGTATGGAAAAGTTATACCACTAATCAATAGAGCTATACTCAGAAAAATCCAGGGCCTAGGAATTGCTAAGTTTTATATTAATGGCAGCAGCTCGAATTTTTGCAAGCAATGACTGTAAGAGTAGCTAATATTATGGGTGTACTTCAAAAATTCTGGACCAAGTATAAATTTATTGTTAATTTAGGACTGCTTTTCTTGATGTTCTTAAAGTGATTTCTTTTTTATAACTTACGTGAAAAGCTAAAGTCTATATGGTAGGACTGATGAATGGTATGTTCGTAATGGGGTTTTCAGATATTTCATAAACTTTTGTGTTAATGCGTGAGTCACATCTTAATTGAGTTAAAGCAGTCATTCTTATGAAAACTGTAATTATCATGTGTTAATTTGATACTTAAGAGTGAAAATTGGTACTGTGCCTTTACCACAATTAATTATTTGTCATGCTAATAAACTGCTGTAAGCAGTTTAGAAACATGAACCTCTTGACTCTGGAGGTTCTTTCTAGTACAATGCAACTAAAGATTGATCTTTTCTAATATCAAGGGGGCATGCAGCTTTTTAAAGTTGCATTTGAATCTTCCCGTTGGGGATTCTGCTGAATGATCACCTATTTGAATGATCAGTAATCATGCTACTGGAGTAGTTGGCTAGTTTATCGCCTTTAACAAAGTCTCCAGCTCCTGGAACTTGATAAGCCCTCAGCTGGCTGCTTATGCTATCCTTTAATTGTGGGAAGTAGATAGGAGCCTATAAAAGTGTTAGAAAAAGCAGTACCATAATCCTCTCAGAACTTTCATTGAGGCTGCTTCCTTGATAACGTGTTGGATTCCTGTCGATGATGTGCAGACCATAGGTGGTCTTTCTTAATGCTCAGCATTTATTGAATTATTGATTTTACAGAGGAATATTGTCAAACTTTATAAAGCTTCTAAAATGTCTGACAAGGTTTACTTTAAAACCTGATTTTTAAAAATATAATCACTCTCTAGTGAAAATTCATACAATTTACTTTAAAATACAGTGTAGTTGCTGCCCTCTCCTCGAAACTGCTTTATCTTCATAGACAAAAAATTTAAATTCTGACAGTTGATGCCCCAGTTTGGTACCCTGAATCACGCTTGAGTTGTATGTCTAAAGTAAATGTTAATACCTTCCAATTTTTATCTCCAGTGTTTTTAAGCAGTACAACTCAAGACATAACCATCAAACTATTAATTATTTGAATTATTTTTTTTTTTTAAATCAGAAACTGAGTCAACATGGATCTTACTGTTCGTACATATTATATGAACTGTAGTCAGACAAAACTATGTTAGACTGTGGCTGTCAGGACACTATCGGGACAGGATGATTTTTTGTAAGCTGGAACAGAGAGAATAACCATGATCTTTCCTCATTTCCTTGAAAGAAACCTATCAGTGTCTGAACCTCTACAATTTAACACTAGTTAAATTCAGAATTTTCTCATTAACAGACTATTCCAGATCCCTAAGGAAATCCTTTAATCCTTCCGTTCCAGCACTGAGCCTGTCTATACTGAACTCCCTAGCTTCTGCTTTCCTGTACACAGCACTGTCCTTTTGTTGCTTTACCAGTACGTATGATTTGCGTCTTGACTTCTGATACTCAGAACTCTTGTGTTTGAGAAGTGGCTTGTCTTGGATTTCGTGATTTCCTGGTAAAAAATAGGAAATTATTTTTACTGTTGAAATTCACATTTGATCTCTTTCTTCACCTACATTTGAAAACTGTGAATATTAAAGCAAATGGATTTGTATCCGATAGTGTGGGCCCAAAGTCTTCATAATAGTCACGTTGCATTTGTGCTTATTTATTGCTAAGAGGCAAGTGATATTCAAAACTTTCCTGGCATAAAGAACCCTAGATAAAGAACTAAAAACAAACACCAAAACTTGGTACAGAGGTGAAAGAAGCAGACTATCTGTGTAAACTGTTCTTAAGAACAAATGATTGCTCAATACTGACAATCCTAACAGTCCAGTGAAGCTGCCTTTTCACTTTCGTCTTAATTTTCTTCCGTATCCTTCTTTGTGTACCTTCTCTTATGATTGTTTCGAGACCTGTGCCTTTCTGGTCTATTCAACAAGCCATTGGCAATTTCCTCAAAGAATACAAAGAAATATGTCATTACATGTAGTGTGTCATTGTCCTGAAGGGAAAAAAGGGGTAAAGGGGTCTTCATCCTTTTGTAACTTGAGGGAGGCTGAATAGCTATGTGTAATTTCATCACTTCTAAGGCTCACAGTCATATCTACTTCCAGTGAGTTGGACAGAAGGTGCATAATAGAGACGTTACCGATACTCTATGGCAGGAAGAATATTCAGTAGGTACTTAGCAGTTATAGAGGCACATCTTGGGAAACATGCACTTGTATCTCAACAGTTGGCTGACTAAAGTCAGTTCCCAGGACAATCAACTCTTTCATCAAGTTCTTGACCTATTTGGCAAACTGAGATTCATAGTAAATGATGAAAAATTATCTCTGAAGATCATATACACCTGAATACCACTGAAGATAATAAACAAATGGGAACCCTATTAAATTCACATTCAGCACTGGCCTATTTGTCAAGACAGACTGAATTTTTATTGTAATTCTGCTGAATTTAAGGTTAAGGTGGCAATGTTGCAGAAGATGCTGATGTTTGCTTGATACCCAGATTTACTGCAGTGGGTAAGGACTACGTTCTCCTCTTCCAAGCATCAGATAAAAACAATGGCCACTACTTTTTCCCAGGTTGTATCAGAAGTCACTCTGTAACTGAACCATGGTGTATGACTGACTTTCCTGTCTCTTTCTTCCTCATAGCTTGTAACTTGAGAACTTCTCTTGCCAATAAAGACGCAAAAGATTAACCCCACTATTTTGGAAAACAAACAAGTTTTCAGAGTGCTGCCATCTATGAATAGTGGTCCTATTGGCTATCCACTAGCTTTCTGATCCCACATCCACTTCACAGACATTTTGAGAGGGAACAAAATAAACATGAGTTAAAGAATTTAGCATGAACTATACTTTACACTAAAAGAGACAGTAGCTAAAAGTCTGTTTGTCTGCAACAGAAAAAGTAAAATTAGGACCGTCTACTCCAGGAAAAGCATGGCTCAGAACGTCTGGCAATGCCTTCTTCATCAGAAGTCCTGAGATTTGTTTTATCTCATTGCCACAATTGCTTTGATTTCCAAGGTAATATTCAGTACCAGGAAGTAAGGGCTACTTTACTGATAGTCCGCTATTGCTGTTTTCCCAGACATTGTGCTCATTGTGCTCTGCCCCATGGCAGAAACACACAGAAAGCTCTAGCTGGCAAATTGAGCCTCAGGAGAGGAAGCCTCTGTTAAAAAAGAAAAGCTTTTCCATATTGCTGTACAAAATGCAACCTCAGAGATGTACCAGTTCCAAGAATTCTGTCCCATCTCCTGCACTTAAAACAGGCAAGATGATTATTTAGTTCCTTCAATACCCAGCTGGCAACAATGTCCATCTGACGTTTCAGACCCAATTCCCCTCAGCGATGCCATGTTTCTGTGTTTCTTTCAAGACCATCTTTCCCTGTCACCATAATATAAACAAAAAAATAAAGATGTAAAACATCATACTTTGGATAAGCCAAGGGATATTGTGATGAAATGGGAAAGTTGTAGTAACATTATAATTCATTGTGGCTAGTCAATTATTCTACAACAATAAGCTTCCCCCAGAAAACATGCCAAACATTTAGCACCACCTAGAATAGAATTTAACCTTTTGTGATACCCTCATTTTTAATTTTTTAAAATTTTTTAAATGGTTAATGGTTTTAGTAGATGCATTCAAAGCTCAGCAATCTCATCCCAGAGATTTTTCCAAATGGGTCACTCAGTGCAGTTCCATGCACTGGTTGTTGACTCATGGGCCTCTTCCCTTCAGGCATCATGGCACACCTACCTATAACCTCAGTGAATCATTGAGTTCATCAAAACCACAAAAATTAAGAAATTTGTAAAGAAGCCCTCTTGCTTTTATGAAACACTACAGTGCTGACCTGCAGATAGAAGCAACGGTCAGTTCAAAAGAACAGTATTGCACCACTTAGTGACTTGTAAAACCTGATTTCCTTTACTCAGTGCCTGGGAAGGTGCTGCTGTCAGTCATCTAAAAGTGATACTGAGGGTCTCAGAGAAATAGATACATACATATATATGTTTGGTATCTGAAGAATACTGTAGTCTTCACTTACATGAGATTTCTTTCACTTGAGCAGGAGCTGAGTGAGAATTATCTTCAGTCTTTGCTGTGTGCATGCAAATGAACACACAGAGGTAGACGATATGCTAGCTAACAGGCGACTGTTTAGTAAAACAGTTGTACTCCCATTAGGAAGAGGTGCATGAGTACCTTCAAGGACATCAGCATGGACTGCAGTTTGTAAAAAGCTCAAGTAAGAAGGGATAACTGTGCTCTTTTTACAACTACCATGTCTGTCTGTCTATCTGTTTGCGTGTCCTAGTTGAAACAAATATATTTAAACTGACATTTTCCAATATTTTTTCTTTTCAGCTATTGATCTCATAAATAATTTGTTGCAAGTGAAAATGAGAAAGCGCTACAGTGTGGACAAAACGTTAAGCCACCCATGGTTGCAGGTATTGCTACAATTCCATGTTTTTTCTTAGGGATTTAGGCTCTAAGTATATAACAAATTTTCACCTTTAAACACAGTAGAATCTAAGCAAACCTACAAACCTGAAGATGTTTTCAGATCCTGAGAACCTCATACTCCTTCACCAGTTTACCTATAGATTCTTATTAATTTCTGAAGTATTAGATTCCAATACTAAACTCTGTCATGTTTTCAAAATACACTACAAAAATATTTTATCTTGTTTATCCACTGAGAACATGATGTATGTAAAAAAACCCCTATAGTCACTTGACTTATATTATCTTATTGCCTGGAGTCCACCCTGATTCACTTCTTATTAAAACTAATCAGTGGGCTTTCGATTCACACTTATCAGAAGAACTAGTGAAGATGTATGCTTTCCAGGAAAATACATTAGCCACCTTCAGTTGAAATCTTCAACTAAAAACTGAAATGTTAGGAATATTTGAGATGCTAGCAGCCACTGTCTTCTGCTCCTCACATGGTAATTTTTTTTATCCTGGTAGCAGCCAAATCACTGCAAGTTTAAGACCTAAAACATAATCAGTGCAGCGAGCAGCCAGGGCCAGTCCCAGCAGCCCCAGCCAGGGAGCAGGGCAGGCTGGGGACAGCCCCAGGCCATGGCATTGGGCCCCTCCCTGGGCACAGGGACAGGCTGAGGCCAGGCTGGGACATCAGCCCAGGGGATCTCCCAAAAATCCATGTTTGCATCTAGGAAAATAATCATGGCACAGGCATGGCACAGATCAGATGCATAATCCACAGTCCCAAAGGAATCTTTTTCCAAATGGAAAACAGTCCTACTCCAGTACCTTATAGCTGCAACTGTTTCTCAAAGTAGAGGGTCAACTGCTGGTATAGGAGGAAAAGGGCTGCAGCCTCCCACCCTGCACCCCGCCTTCCCCAGGGACATTTCTCCTGGGCTTGCTTTCTTCCTCCCAGATTTCCTGTCACTCTCCAGTCTTTTTCTCCAAGACTGCTCCCTGGCAGTCACTGCAGAATGCATTTGTCTAAGCCTTTGGGGACCAGAGAGGTGATCTGGGCTAAGGTCTGCAGCAAGGATGCTGGCTGTCTCACGTGATGGGACACAGTCTTTCACCTCTCTATGTGCACTTTTATCCCTTGTGCAATAGTGAGTGGTGGTGACCTAAGGTGAGGCAGTACAGCAGCAGCTCTAGCACCATGGCTGAGATGAGTCCTCTTTCCAGAAGAGCCCAGCCTTGTAGGCTAAGGAAAGGTAACAGTGGTGCAGGGCAGTGAGACTTAGAGGTGATTTCTGAGAGCATGTCTGTGTAAGAAGTGGGCCAAAGGATGTGAAATACTAAGGATGAAGGCTTTCGTGCATTAACAGTGTGTGAGCTTTCTGTTGCTTTGGCTAGGTGACCAGGGTTGTGTCTTAGGTTGAGACAAGGTGAAGGAGAAAAAAGAAAACTGGGTACAGGATCGTAAGCAGAGGTTAGTCTGCATGGGGCTAGGATTGGCTTTATTACTGCAGTTTCATGTGTGCTTTGAATGGAATAAGAAAATAAATTATTAAACTTGAGATATAATTTAGGCAGATCAGAGGCTGCAGAGCGTGATGTGTGAGAACCAAACCAGTTTCCAGCCTTACTGTTGACTGTCAACATGGAGTTCCAAAGTACCTTGATGTTTAGGTGTTTATGTCTCTTTTACCCTACCAGTAACGGGCTAAGTTTGGAAAAGTGGATTTTTTTCTAGCCCAGGCTGAATTCATATCCTGTACCATTATACAGAGATGGAACAATGGCCTTGACTGTCTGATACAGATCACTAGGATGTTCCTATCTGATGTAAAGATGTTTCTTCTTCCTTATTCATTTTGTGACTAGTTTGAGGAATTGCTTTACCACCATGACTCATTTAGATATTGTGGAAATCTGTAGACTATCCATACATTCTGCAAATCAACGTGTAACATCTCCTTGCTACACTTGTGACAGAGTTTAATAAAATTAATTTATCAAACAATCCTCTAGAGATGAAACCTATCTCTACAGGCAGATTTCATATTTATTAATTATAAGATTTTTCCATTCTGGAGCAATAGGGATGCATGACCTTTAGATTGCTGAGTTAATAACACTTTGCATATTATTGGTAGTAGAAGGGAATGTCATTTATTTTAGGAAATTTAAAACTAATACTGTTATTCTATTTCAGGACTATCAGACCTGGTTAGATTTAAGGGAACTTGAATGTAAAATGGGGGAACGTTACATCACCCATGAAAGTGATGACTCCCGATGGGAGCAGTATTCAGGAGAACATGGATTGCAGTATCCAGCACACCTTGTCAGTCCAAGTGCTAACCATAATGAAAATACCAAGCTAGAAGAAACAGAAATGAAAGCCCTCAGTGAGCGTGTCAGCATCCTTTAAGTTGCATCCCCTATAATCTGTCAAAACACTGTGGAATTAATAAATACATACGGTCAGGTTTAACATTTGCCTTGTAGAACTGCCATTATTTTCTGTCAGATGGGAACAAAGCTGTTATGCTGTTACACTGTTGATGTATCTGAGTTGCCAAGACAAATCAACAGAAACATTTTTGTGTGACCAACTGTGTTGTATTTACAAAAGTTCCCAGAAACACTAAACTTGTTATTGTGAATGATTCATGTTGTATTTAATGTATTAAAACCTGTCTCCACGGTGCCTTTGCAAACTAGTGTTTTCTTACTTGAGCCTCATTTTGGTAAGAGAGAACTTTCCCATGATGATCTGGGGTTTTTTTTGTGCATCGTTAATATTGTAAGCAAACTCTTGAAGAGTAGATTATAACTGCTGTTCTGTGAACAACTTCTACCATTTGGATAAAAGCTTTATTTAGTGTCGAAAAATTAAAAAAAAGGCAAAAAGTAACAAATTGCATAGCACTGTACAGTTTCAAATCAGAGAACCCGTGTGTATGTGTTTGGGTGTTTGAGTACATAGATACACAGACATGTACACATAGTATAACTTGCTCTTAAGCCTAGATGCCTTAGTAATGTAAACTGCAGTATATGTCGGTTGTATTTCCCCTTTTCTTAAAATATTCTTCTCTAATATGAATATTCTCTAATGTGTACATTCAGAAGCTAAATAACTTGTTGACTTTGTGTATGTTTTCAATAAAAGTATTGTTAAAATAGATTCATTTGATTAATCTTTCTGTTTAAAATATCCCTGGAATGGCATCAGAAGTAGATGGAGTAAATTAGTTCATCATTAAGAAGCCCATGTGTAGGTAGGTAAGAAAATGCTGCCAGCTAACCTGCATACCTATTAAACATATTCTGTAAGGACCTACTTGGACTGATTTTATATCATAAGTTCAGTCAGTTTTGAAACATACTGGGGGAGTGGGGAAGTTGAGGACACATTAATGGGAATTTAGTTTTCACAGAAATGTGCTGCTTCTGCTTTTCCACTGAGTTCTATTGAACTGGCAATGTAATACGAGTCTCTCCTGCTCTCTTTCCCCTGAAAACTTTAAAGATGTTTATTTTCATTTTTAACAATTACTTACTGTTCCAACACTAATCCATTTAGATTGAACTGTGAGAGAGGTTCAGGCTGTACTGTAGAACATGTGCCAGAGTAACTCAGTGAGAAGGTGAAAATTATTCTGTGCCACAGACTACCTCTGAAAAAAACAGTTGATATACAGGTATTGAAGGCTGAGGTTAAAAAAGAAAAGATACATGGGATGAGAGGCAGAAATATGCAATGATAAGAGTTAATAACAACATGTGATAAAACTTTACTGATCAAATCTTGGCTTTATGTTACAATGATGAGCTTTTCAGTAGATAAATCCATTCTTTCCTCAAAGAAGAGCTTTGTCCAGAGCAGAATTTTTCTTTGGTATTTTGCACCTCTACTGGACAGATAGTGCGTACTGTAGAAGAAATTAAGAAAAAGCACCTTTATTCAAACAGAAAAAATTAATGTTTTAGAGAAAATTAAAAAGTATTGTGAAAAATGACTCAAAAATCTCTTCTTCTCTTCTCACCCCCCCCTCCCCCCCCCCTTTCCCCTACTCCTACTGCCTAAAAAGAAATCCTTTTCCACTTCAGCTGAACCCTGAAGGACGCTCTCTGGTAACACTGGCATTGTAACATGTTCTGAAACAGCTCTGGTTGGGCAGAGTTCGAATGTGTTGACTATTCTGTCATGGTGTGATGTCTGTATTTTCAATCAGGACTTTCCTACAAGGCTAAATTTGGCAAATCATTGGCCATTGTTTTTCATTCAATCTTAAATCAGCTGTTAAATAAACATAAAAATAGACTCGGGCTGATCATCAAATTTCTGTCAGTAAAAGTGTATGTGTGTGTGTGTATATGTAAAAGCAAGTCCACTTAAAGGTGCAGTGATGGACTTGCAGATACATGAAGATAAAATTCTGTTCTTTAACAACTCCAGGAGTGAAGCCAAATTCACTAACTTTTCGAAAAGGAATTTGAGGGAAATTATCAGAATCATATAGACTTGGTTCAGATGCTAATATGACTGTTCATAAGGAACCATGACCTCCCAGAAGTGTCCTGATTTTGTTGACTCATTCCTCTATGTTAACCAGTAACAGAGATTTAGAGCTCTGCTTTCATATTGGTCAATTTAGGTAAGTCAGAATTTTATTTGTGGCTTGATTTTGTTTGCAATTAGTGTACCAACCCTTGAGCAAAGGTAATTTTCAACAACACAGTTAAATTCTCAAAAATACTTAATAGCATACTGGCACTCTGTTCTATGGACACTAGTCATGAGGTTAAAAGAGAAAGCAAATACTTTGCAGCTTGCAATGGCATCTTTAAGAAGCTGGATGACAAAACTAAAAACAGTCCAACTTTTAATGAAGGAAGGACATTGAGTACTTAACTGAACCCCATCATCTACTGATTTGTGCCATAACAATGCTTCACATGCACAAGAGTTTGCTAAGCATGGACCTATGTTGATAAATATATTTAATGTCATGGAGCACTTTTGATAAACTGATTGCTAACAGAGCAAAGACAAAAGTATAAATAAATTACTACTCTGCGAAATTTTCTGACTAGCTACTAAAAGATTTCAAAGGAACTCTTGTTTTATTACTAGAGGCATATTACACTTTTTTTCCTCCCCATGCCTGTTTTTTTTGAGCACTGAAGCTTGCTTCATTGCTTTAAGGAGCTTGTTGTGCAAATACTTACTGCTTTTCAAAAAAGAATCTACCATTAGCCAATATAATAAATTAAAATTTTCCCTGCTGCCGTTCAAAAATGTTGTACTGTGAAATTTGAACTGTTTGCAGTTCAGCCAGATGGATGAATTCACTGATTCCTAACTCAAAGCCTAAACGGAAACTTGCTCTTCCAGATACATAAGCATCAAAGTGTGCTGAAGCAAATCTGGGATTGTGTTGTCCTACATGATTTTCCTTTGCTCATTTTACTCAGGAAAAAGGAATGGTAGGCCACGCTGTAGTAATGTTTCCATGGCCTTTACATTTTCCATTAGGCCAACATCCTGTGCATGCATCACGGAAGCAAAAACCAACAATGGTTGTGCCACACATAAATATCGACCTGAGAATCTATTGATGGTACTTCCTTTTCTGCTGCACTACTGCGTATCATATGCATATCAAGCACATGTGTACACATAATCATACATCTGTAGACATGTTTATTATCTCAAAGCTTAGCTGTGGAGTGCAGAGAAATAGCTGATGTACTTGGAAGCTAGAACTTCTGATTTATGTTAAGTTGCCATTTTCACTTCTACCATCTTCTTTATTCACTCAGATATACTTTCTTTATCCAGAGTCCTGTCCAGGCAGTTTAACTAACTCAGCAATCAAGGTGAGCAAAACGCATGCACTTGTGCAACTTGTACAGCTCTGCTGTCATGCAGCTATCATAGGATGGAAGGGAATTCCTGTCACTGGGCCTTGTCTCCCATTGTCTTGGATACTACATCAGATCTCCTTGTTCTCATCTTAGCAGGGTCTCTTCAAAACTAGTCCTATATTCTGCCTTCCCCTTTTCTTTCTCCTCCCTCCCCTCTCCCCTCTACACCTCACTACTGAAAAGCCTTCCTAGAATCTCACCTCTCCAGTGGTTAGAAAGTTGTAAATCCTGACCTCATGGCAAGGCAATAACCATCTGTTTTTTATGTCAACAACAGCCTTTTTTTGTTTGAGAGGTTAAACAAACCAGGTTAGTTATTTTATGTTATTGGATAAATCAACACCTCTTCTGCACACCTGAATTTATTCTGGACAATGAAGTCACAGAGGTGGCATGGAAAATGCTAATAAGCTGAAAAAAAAAGCCAAACCCCTACTGGATTAAGGGGAACAGATACTGGGCATCCCATGAAATTAGGGAGAAAGGAAAAAAAAGAAAATTCCTAGGGAAATCTTAAGAATTAATCACCAGGGAGGTTAACCCCCATATACTACTTCAGCCCATAAGACATAGGAAGAACGACTAGAGTTGAGTAATTATGGATTATGGTGCAGTATTATTCAGATATGTCTACCAAAATATTGACATCCTGGAAAAGCTCTGCTTCATGCAGATAAACCAGAGCCCTATCCCTGTAGCTGTTCAGCACCCCAAACTTTGCTCAACTTTTCACTTTACCAGCAACACTGATTTTTTTTTTACCAGAAAGATAGGCTGTAGTTTATTCTAGAAACAAAGGAAGACAACCACATACTGCACTGGCCACCTTCTGCCTCATGACCAGACGTATGGCATCTGAACCAGAAGTCTCATATTCCTGCGGTTTACTGTGCATGTAAGATGGGAAGGAGCTCAAGCAAATCAAATGTAAACCAGAGGAACTGTCTTGGTAGATCGGGTACTTTTCAGTGGTGATAAATTTGACACCTGAATGGGATGCAGAGTTTCACCTTGCTTTTTGCTTAGCTTGTTCCTAGCAACTGGAGCAAGTGAATGCTAAAATCAGGGTCTACTGAGTGAGCTAATATTTATCTTGCTTCTTACTCAATCTTTGCTTCTATAACCAGGTGACCTGCCTGGTGAATGAGGGA